CTGCTCTTAGACAATATAATTCGGTAGTTATTGAATTAGTACTGCACAGTACCAGTTCGGTAAAGGAAGAAAGGAGTTGCCTAAAATGAGCTTTTTTTAGTACACCTACACACAATGTAAAATGCCATATGATTTTGTACTAATTCGTACTAAATACGCAACTCCTTTGGAAACAGTGCGGAAAAGTTAGACTTACGGACGTAAGTTCCTTTTTATTTATTATAGAAGACAAATGAAAAACTATGATCTACGTTTGAAAAAAGAAATAAGTGGCATGTGTCAGATTAGCTGACAATTACGTACACTTTTAAGAAGTGTTTTTCAAGTCGTTTTTTACAAGTTTACGACCTTATCAATCTTCTTTTGAAAGATACCTCAAATACTTTCAATTACATAATTATTCGAATTTAAAAGCTTACAAATTGAAAACAATAAATATTATCAACCATAACATGGTTGAACGATTTTTCTTTCGAAATCACAAAATTTAAACATTTCTGATTGGACACTAGTCGATAAACCTAATTCATTGAAAAAGACAAAAAATCATGGAAGTACCTCATATCTCATATCATTATTTAGTAGACAGTATCTACTAAGCACAAGTGTTTTGAAATACATTGTACAATAATGACAGCAGTAAAATGTGAAATATGAAGATAAATATGTGAATACTTATCTATCGAAAATGTACTATCCCATAGTTTTCTTGGTTAATCGTTAAGTCGTCCAAGTCAATTGGCATTTGAAAGTGTAACCGATGGGTTCAATTATAGTGGATAATTAAGTTTTAACAATTATTTCATCAAGTTTGTGTTGAAACGGGTCTTTAAAAATGAAGTTTTTCATATTGCTGCTCTTCATTTGTGGATTCTTGATTATTTACAATGGTTTCAGTGCACCAAATCCTGCCGTAGCGAATGACCAATTTGATGACGTTAACTATCGTTTGAACACAGATGTTCTGCCAAGTGCCTACGAAATTATGCTAACGCCCTATTTCGAGAATGTGAAAGGAAAAGAGCCATTCACTTTCGACGGATATGTTAAGATTACGTTGCGGGCGAATAGAACTGGTGTCAAGGAAATCACACTTCATAAAGAAGAGCTGGTCATTTCAGATGTTTTGATAAATGTCAAATCGAGCATTTTCATCGCGACGAGAATTGAAATTGTTGATCAAACTTATGAAGAAAAAACCAATAAACTAACTCTTACATTGTCTGATGAACTCAACATTTCTCAAGACTATGAAGTTCAGTTCAATTATACCGGTAATTTAAGAAATGATATGCATGGCTTCTATCGCAGTTCCTACAAAGAAAATGGTCAAACAAAGTGAGTTATTTCTGAACGTTTTTTGGTGCTTTCGGTAAATTTTGGTACTAATTCTCACCTTGTGTCAATTTTTCATTCAGATGGTTAGCTTCAACTCAAATGCAGCCGGTTCATGCTCGCAAAGTGTTGCCATGTTTTGATGAACCTCATTTCAAAGCAACTTTTGAAATAATTATGAATCGACCAAGTCACTTTAAACCAACGCTCGGTAACACTCGCATTGAATCAACTCTTCCATTGGGGTAACTACGTTAATTTATTTCCCAAACGTAAATTTCATCAATTTTCCATGTTTGTTCCACAGTTCAAATGTGATTCGTGAAATTTTCGAACCAACCCCGGTTATGTCAACGTATTTGGTCGCATTTATTGTGTCCGAGTTTGAGTGTCGTGAAAATGATCGCAAAACATTCGCTGTTTGCTCTCGTCCAAATGCATTTGAGCAAACAAAGTATAGTTTTGATGTGGGACAAAAGATATTGTCAAAATATGATGAAAAGTTCGACTACAGATATGACACTCATATGCCGAAGCTGGCCATGGTTGCAATTCCCGACTTTGCCGCTGGTGCCATGGAGAATTGGGGTTAGATTGTTTTTTTTTTGTTCGTCAGGCGTCGCTTCTGGTTTTGTCTTTGGGAGGAGGTCAGAAAGAGGTCTCAACATTGACAACCCCACCCGACAGAATTTCGAGCCGGTTTACCCAGCGCCGGGAAATATTTTGGCTCCAACTCGAGTCCATTTGGTCGGGCTTGTTCTCAATTTTTTTGGGCTCCTTTTGTGACCTCCGTTGAATACTGTACTGTAATACGAAGTCATGAGCGACTCCTGACGACCCAAATGCGATTGTGTTCTTTGCTTAGCAAGCTCGTTTCTTCACCAGTCATTTCATGCTCCATTTTTTTAATGATTCGATGATCATTCGATTTAGGTTTACTAACTTATCGTGAAACCAGTCTTTTGTACGAACAAAATGTATCATCTGCGTACGCTCAACAAAGAGTTGCCGAGGTTGTTGCACACGAACAGGCGCACATGTGGTTTGGGGACTTGGTAACTTGCGATTGGTGGTCAAACACCTGGTTGAATGAAGGTTTTGCTAGATTTTATGCGTACTTTGGAGCAGCTATGGTAAGAAAATTCGCTACGAATCAATCAATTTTCATTGAAAATCAAATTTGTAAAGGTCGAGGATAGTTTTGGCTACGAGCAATAATTCATTGTAAATCAAGTTCAAGCGGCGCTTGATGTTGACTCTTTAGAAAGTACAAAAGCTCTTTTTCACGAGGTAAACAGTCCGGATGAAATTGCCGACCGATTCGGACTGATTTCATACAAAAAAGGTGCTTCGGTGATTCGAATGTTTGAACATACTTTTGGACAAGCTAAATTCACTGACGCGCTCAGACATTACCTTAGAGAGAAGTGAGTTATCGACACAATCTTTTACTTTTCCTACGCACCTAGTGTGAAAAAGATCAATTTTAATTTCGATTGAAAATTGAGATGAACATGCGAAAAAAATACTATTAATCTTTCATTAAAATAGTGCATTGAACACCTCTGTGCCCGAAAAACTGTATGCCGCCTTCCAAGATGTAATGACTGACAACGAAAATGTCGAAGACTTTATGAAGCCCTGGGTTATGAATGCCGGGTATCCAGTTGTAAATGTGAAGATCTTCTCGGATCAACACATTACAAAAGTCACATTTACACAAAAGAGATTTTTACGGAATAATCCAGAACATGGAGATAATCTTAAGACATGGTGGACTATTCCAATTTGTTTTGCGACGAATAATCATAACACACATTTCGCTGATACAAAACCGACGGTATATTTAACCAAAGGACAACTGGAGATTCAGTTGAAAGAACCAATTGAGTGGATTGTAGTTAATGTGCAACAAATGGGTTAGTAAGATGAACTGTATCCACTTCAATTGATGAACTTTTTATTCAGACCAAATCGAATAATTGAGACCGAAATGTGAGTCATGTTGTGCATACGTAATCATTCTTTTATTTCTGATACAGGTTATTACCGCGTGAATTATGATGACGCCACATGGGCTGCAATAGACAAGGCATTGTATGATTCACCAAACAAAATTCATGTGCATAATCGCGCTCAGGTAACAAGCCGGTTTTGCTTCGATATTTTTCAAAATTAACTAGGTCCTAAAATTAAATTAACTAGAGACTAAAGTGGTCGTCATAGACAGTAAAGCTTTAGTAGTAAAGCTGGTTTTTGGCAGAGCTGTTATGGGCACCACGGACTCCATGCGGAGGTGTAGGCACTTTTCTTGTAAGTGCCGCTCTTTCTTGTATTCAGGTGCGACAATTGAAAAATTACTTAGGCACTTACTAAAGGCCGCACTTCTCCGGTGCCAATGACGGCTCTGGTGGTTGGGCAAAGAGTTATTCAGTTTTTCGGGCAAACTGTTCTGATTTCGGAATTCAAACCTTAAAAATTGAATAAAAGATCATTTTCTCATCCTTGCTCTGGCCTAAAGCTAAAGAAATTATAACAAGAGCTTAGAAGTAGAGATCCTGTTGTCACCTATGACCATTTCTTCTATCTTTAGATCGTGGACGATGCATTGAATTTGGCTCGTGCCCGTCAACTCCACTACTCTCAAGCGTTGCACAGCATTGAGTACCTTCAAAAGGAGACCAATTACATTCCATGGTTGTCGGCATTCAATAACTTTGAATTCATTTTGGAACGTTTTACGACAGAAGAAGCTCCAATACTTCAGGTAAATTTTCCTTTAAAAATACAGAGAAGAACCTCCCCATTATTTAACATTGCAACTTGATGGTCTTTGATTTCAGAATTTCATTCTAAATCTTTTGAACAAAGTTTATTCATACCTTGGATTCCATCCAAAAGACACTGATGCTCGATTGGATATTTACAATCGAAACCTTATTTTGAAGTACGCATGTAAATTCGGTCATAAGCAGTGTATTGCCGACGCACGCACCGAATTCGATAAGTTTTCGACGGGAGATTACAAGTGAGTAGTGAATCTATTTGAAATGTCCACTTAAAAGTAACATGATATCCAATAGGATTCCCGTGAATCTGGTACCAGTCGTTTATTGTTCTGTCATCAGCGAAGGGTCGTACAAAGAATGGAATTATTTATGGGAAAAATTCAAAACCGAGAATGTCGCGGCTGAACAAGTTACAATTTTAAGTGCACTGGGCTGTACAAAGCAAGCACAAGTGTTAACGGTGAATCAACATCATTTTTTCGATGCTTTGCAATACGGTTCCAATTTAAAGTACTTCTTATTTTCAGCAATATCTGGACAAAATTTTATCTGAAGACGTTCGATTGCAAGATAAACATTCCGCATTCGTTTCAACTCTTATGCAACAGGGAAATGTCAATTTTGTACTCGAGTTCATTGTTAAAAATCACCAACGTATCAACAAAGCGTGAGTATTTGATATTTATTTTAAAAAATAATTTTTTTGATTAATTGATATGTTGATACAGTTTTGAATCTGAGAAAGAGGTGCCATTGATGTTATCAGAAGTCGCCGCACGGTCAACTACCGATGAACAAATTGACAAAATTGAACATTTTGTTGAGGAACAAAAGTTAAATGACGCTAGTCTTAAATCGGCTCTGATCACGGCAAAGATCAATTTGAAATGGGCTGAAGAACATATTCCGACCATAAAGAAATATTTGGAAAAGGAAAAATCAAACGCAAATATCGTTTAGTTTTAGTTTTATCTATCAGCTATTCAAAAGACAGAAGAATCTTCAATTTTTATTAAAAGTGTAAATAGGTCACTTTCGGTACTTTTTTTGTCTTTGTAATTTGATTTTGTTGGAATAAATCTTTATGAAAACGAGTACTTTATTGGGTTTTTGAAGCTTGCCGTTTGTAATACATTAGAAGTGTAAGAGAGTGCATTGCATAGCATCAATCACCATGAGTCCCTGTATATTAATACAGGCGAGAAAAAAGTCGCACAATAATGCGCCATCTGTTGACGTGGTTATTAATGTATGTAATTACAAAGACGGAATTGTTGGATGGTGTCTTAACTAAATTTTCATATCGCTTGTTTTCAACCACAATTCGCACAGGTCACCAGATGGCGTTTTTACAATAAGACATCTCTCAGTCATGATGGTTGCATAGCACCTAACCGAATTGGAAAAAAAAATTGAAATTTTTTGGAATAACCTTGTATTGCGACCGTCAGAAGCTATGTTTATTATGAATACGAAAAAAACATGTTTTGCGGGGGCACTTTCCAACATTCAAAAATCGTTTTGATAACGTCAAAGTTATTTTGAGTCCCCCTGATAAAAAAATCTCAAGATTTTCAACTTGTATTTTTTTTGAATAGTCTACTTTTTAAACTTATTCTCCTATCGGACTGAGAGATAAAAGTAATGTAATTGAAAAAAGAAATTCAATTGTTGATTATTTATATGATAAAATCTTATCAAAATGTAATCTATTTAAGTACTCATAACATTTATATTGAACGTTGACGAAAAGGAAGATAAAACGATCGTATTGCTGACTTATATAATTTTACGAATTGAAAAAACAAAAAAAAACTCAAAATAGATTTCAGTTTGACTTTGAAGCCAATCATTTGAACATCGACAAAGGAACACTTTTTAAACACAATTACGACATCAAATCATTTAAACAAAATTGCCGACGAAAGAAATATAAAAATGAGTTTTGCGAATAAAGTAATTATAATAACTGGTGCCAGTTCCGGCATTGGAGCCCATGCCGCTTTGCATTTGGCAACAAAAGGTGCGAGTGTTTCATTGATTGGTCGCAACGAAAAGCAGTTGAATGAGGTTTGTGAACAAATCAAAAGTGCCGGGGCACCGACCCCGTTGGTAATCGTAGCTGATGTCACAAAAGATGCTCAGCGAATAATTGACGAGACGGTGAATCACTTCGGAAAGTTGAATATTCTGATAAATAGTGCGGCTGTATCGAGGAAATATAACGCTGAAAATGTAGATATGGCCGACTACGATTGGATTATGAACACCAATGTACGTGCTATAGTTGAACTTATGAAATTTGCCATTCCGCATTTGGAAAAGACAAAGGGCAATATTTTGAATGTTTCAAGCATTGCAGCATTACGCATTCGGCCGAATTCATATGTCTATAGCATGTCAAAGGCGGCTGTCAATCAACTAACCAAAAGTGCTGCAAGGGACATGGGCCCAAAGCGTATTCGGATTAACGCGATTTGCCCAGGAGTTATTCGTACACCGTAAGTATTAATTCCTCTTCTTTTTTTCAAATTTTATGGACGTTATGTGGAACGAAAAAAAAATGTTGAAGAAAATGTATGTATTTCTTAGAATAAATGGGTAACAAGAATATATGTATTTCCATGTATTTCTTATTAGAATATTTGAAAAGAGCTGGGGATGGAAATCAGAACAAGTTGATCAATTCTATAACGATGAGGGTAAACTTTATCCGGTGGGTCGTGTTGGCGATGTAACAGATACATCGGCTGCTATTGAATATCTAGTCGGAGACTCGGCCGCTTTTCTCACAGGAACTATACTAACCGTCGATGGCGGAGCCGTAATAGCAGGTGTATGAAAGTATAATAACAAAATACGACCACTTGATCTTTTTTTTGCATAACCATTCAAATGAAAATTGGTAAAAAACGATTATAGTTAGAAATGTTCAATAAAGACCGTTCTTCTCCTTTGTAACGAAATTCTTTGTTAAACAAAATAACACTTATGTTAAATGCTTCTGCTGACTGCTGAGGAATAACTATGAAATATTAATATAAATGAATACATTTTTTTTGCTTTATCATTAGTACTTCAAAGTGTAGACAAAATTTATAAAATTGAAATGTGACATTGAAATTATCTGAATCATTTGTAAACATTCATTGGGAAGTATTAAAAATCATTTTCACTGATAACTGATCTATTCAAATACTTAAAAAAGTTTCGTGTTTTTTATGATGTAATTGACCCCATTTTGCCCTCTTATATACATTAATTTAGAATAACAAATGGTGATATTCACAACTTTTATTTAATCTTTTACGGCTCTACTGTGGAAAAGTACAAAACATGAAAACGAAAAAAAAGCATGCCGTTTTGAGTATAGAAACTTGAAAAAGTGCATTCTTATAGGTAAATATATCAGTTGCATGGAAGGTATCGTCAATATGGAACAGAAAATTGATTATTGTGGATTTTTTTTTAATAAATCATATAAAAATCTGTGGTTTCTCTATTTTGAACCTTTCTTACTTAGAATATAAAATAGTAGTTAAAGCTAGAGTTACAGGCAGTCTATTAAATAAAGATTAAATGCTCGTTCTTATCAAAGCTCGATTCTCTCTTGTTTGTGCAAAACACAGACATTAGGTCTGAGCTATGGATATAGCTGCTACTATTCCATAGCACCGATTCCATTGACGCTATGCAACGCGTGTATTTTGTACTGTGTGTTCGTTTCCACTTTTGGTATGGTAAACTACTAAACGTGAAGAAGAAACGAACAACATACACGTACACACAGTACACGCGTTGCATAGCGACTATGGAATAGGTGCTATGAAATAGCAGCAGCTATATCCATAGCTCAAACCCAATGTCTGGCAAAACATTATAAATTTAAAATGTAAAAAACAAACGTACTATAGCGAAAATACACTTGAAATATAGAAAACTCCTTTCGCTTCTTATTATCGCTTTCACATGTAAAACAAACAGCAGATTATCGCTCTGTAAGAAGCAGATTTCACTTTAGTTTTAAATTAACTGACAAGAAAAAGAGATTCAGTTGCAAAAATGAGTTTTGTGAATAAAGTAATTATAATAACTGGTGCCAGTTCCGGCATTGGAGCCCATGCCGCTTTGCATTTGGCAACAAAAGGTGCGAGTGTTTCATTGATTGGTCGCAACGAAAAGCAGTTGAATGAGGTTTGTGAACAAATCAAAAGTGCCGGGGCACCGACCCCGTTGGTAATCGTAGCTGATGTCACAAAAGATGCTCAGCGAATAATTGACGAGACGGTGAATCACTTCGGAAAGTTGAATATTTTGATAAATAATGCTGGTTTAGCAACGCCAAATAATGCTGAAAATGTCGATATGGCCGACTATGATTATACGATGACTGTGAATGTACGCAGTGTTGTTGAACTCATCAAATTTGCGATTCCACATTTGGAAAAGACAAAAGGGAATATTTTGAATGTTTCCAGTGTTGATGCAATTCGAAACAGATTAAATGCATATGTATACAGCATGTCAAAGGCGGCTGTCAATCAATTAACCAAATGTGCAGCTAGAGACATGGGTATAAAAGGTATTCGGATTAACGCGATTTGCCCAGCAGTAATTCAAACACCGTAAATATTCTTGATTTTATATTTAATTTTTTTTTATTTAAAATGATTTTTGAATATTTTCAGAATCTTTCGAACAAGTTTTGGAATGACATCGGAACAGGTTGATCAATTCTACGATGATAACAGTAAACTTTATCCGGTGGGTCGTGTTGGTGATGTAACAGATACATCGGCTGCTATTGAATATCTTGTTAGCGATTCAGCTGCTTTTCTCACAGGAACTATACTAACCGTCGATGGCGGAGCGTTAATAGCCGGTGTATGATAGAAAAAATGTTATAAATAATAGAGTTTTATTGAGTTTTATATGACACATCATTATGCTTAATTGAATAAAACTTGAATGTTACATTTTATTTTATGTTTACTTTCTTCTTTGTTAAAAAAAAAATCATCAAGTTGGAAATTCCCTAGGAAATTCCCTTCATGAAAAAGATAGATTAAAGTAATCTTTGGGGTTAATTCTCAAGAAATACAAACGGTCACATTTAAATGAAAGCAAACACATTTTTAATCACTGGGAATTTCCGAATTGGTTTCTGCGACGCTCATTTGAATGTTAAATTAAAAACATGGAAAATGATTAAAAGCATTGATGAGCATTATCAATGGTTTCATTTCATAATCGCGCTTTTGTGCTATTTTGCGGCTGTTGTTTGCATATACCGGCTCAAGTTATTTAAAGTTGTTTAATGGAGAAAGCGGCGCAGTCTTCGATTGGCTTCTGACTATTTAGTGATTTGCAAATGAACAGTTTCGTTAATCCTCGAAAATATTAAATTAAATTTGAATATTTTAGATTTATTTTGAAGTAGTTTGTGTTTATTTCGGAAAAATGAAGTATTTTTTTGTACTTCTCTGCTTTCAGCTGTGTCTGATTCAAGTTCTATCAGGTATTCATTTGAGTAATTAAAACTCTTTCAAATAAATATTTTAAATATCTGTACACTCTGTTGTGTGTAGTTACCTTACGAACAGATGGTGTGAATGGCAGAGACCCGACAAATCCTCTTTTAAGACCCGCAGAACGAGGTAATTTTATAATGAAAAAATCCAATTATACAAAAAAATGTGAAATCATCAATATATTCTGTTTGTAACTAGCTTGCAATGTGTATTCAAACATGCCTGAATCTCGAATTTTGGGTGGGCAGGCTGCTGCACATGGTGAATTCCCCTGGATGGTTTGTCAAATTTGCGCATTGTTCTAAAGTACTTCAATGATATTTCAACATTTTGTTAAAATTTAGGCGGCCCTGGGATACATAGCTGATCTTAAAATCACTTTTAAATGCGGTGGCACGATAATTTCGAAGGACTTTGTACTAACGGCGGCACATGCCATAACATTAAATCATCTTCCCGTCCTAGTTCGACTGGGAAAAGTAGGTTAAAATTCAAATTCGTTTTCCGAATATTTGTTTAAAAAACGTTTTCCTTTTTTTCTGAAAAAGTTAACACTGACCGACAACGGAAATGATGATATAAGTGCTGTTGATCATCAAGTGAAGGTGAATGTCTTATTACAATTTTTTTTAACGATTTTTTAAACTGAATGTTTTTTTCTCAGCGCATCTATAAGCATCCAAACCGTTCAGCTTTAACACATAAGAATGATATCGCATTGATAAGCTTAACAAAATCAATTCAATTCACAGCCAACATTGCTCCGGCATGTTTGCACACAAGTATGGGTGATTTGGGTGATCTTATTGTTACCGGGTGGGGTCTTACTGACCCTGTACGTAAGTTGAATTTCTGAAATGTTTTGGTACATCAAATTTTGAATGTAAGGTGATTTTTATTTTGAAATTCTTTCATCAAAGGAATGTCTTCGATGTCGAATGAATTGTTGAAGGCCCAGGTGAAAACAATACCACTGTCTGAATGCAATTCTACATTTGTGGAATGGAATCGAAAAGTTTCAAATTTTTCAGCTTTTCAAAATGGCCTTGATGAAGGCCAGTATTGCGCACATGACCCAGAAGGAAAGAAGGATAGTTGTTTTGGAGATGGTGGAGGTCCGCTACAATTCTTTCCTAATAACTCGAAAACAGCAACTGTCGTTGGTATTGTTTCATTTGGTCATGGCTGTGGCACATCTTTTCCAACTATTTACACCAGAGTTGCTCAATATTTGGATTGGATCGAACCGATCGTTTGGCCATCTGATCAATAATTTTTTTGCGCTTCGCAATAAATTACCAAATTATTGTGAAAGCAAAAAAAGAAAATCTTTCCTCGTAAATACACTCAATGTTTTACCAAGTTTTGAACAGTTAAAAAATAAAGCCAAATTTGAAGTTCGTTGATGTTTCTTTATTTTTTTTTTCGATTCACAGAGGTTCAGAGATTAAAAACAACAATATTGACGCTAGAAATATATTAGCGCATATTTCACACTGTGAAATTAACAGTAAATATAAATATGCGATATGTCATATACACAATTACACACTGTACGTAAGACGATTCTCCTTCGTTTACTGTCTCGGTGTATGTCGAACTGTATGTGCATGCATCTAACGTCAATTCAATCGCTGATTAAAAGGTTCACGTTTATTTGCAAAATTATTGTACAATCTGTAAAGTATCTCTGCTAAAACGAGACGATTATCACAAATTTGCCTTATTTCCATTTAATGAGTTTGTGCCCATGCGCTTATTTTTCAAATAAATGTGATTCAAAAATCAAACCATAATACATATTTCAATAACACTTTAATGTTAAATTCTATTTATAATCTCTTTTTTGGAAATTCCCTGCATGAAAAACGGGGTTTATCTTGATGTTATCGAATGCAAAACAGACGGACTCGTCCAAAAAAAAGCATTCCTTGTCGTTTGGGAATTTTAGAAAAACCTGTTTTTATTGTTTCTTTCGAGGTATAAAGAACGTGGCTTTGTTGAGAAATCAATTTAGTTTCGATCAGCCTTTGAGTAGGTTGCTTTTAATCCGCCAAAAAATTTGGTTCAACTTCAACTCGTATTGACTTTTTACTTTCAACTCGTATTGCTTTCGAGTTTATTAAAAAGAAAAATGAAATATTTTCTTATATTCGTGTGCCTTCAGTCGCTTCTGATTGGCGTTCTATCAGGTATTAAATAGGAAATTCAATGACAATAATTTCTTTTTACTTCAAACAAATAATATTCATTTGTTGCGTGTAACAGATGGTGTGAACGGCGGAGTTCAAACGAATCAAACAAGGTAATTTGTTTAAAATAATAGACTCAAATAAAATGTCTTGCATCCGTAAGATGAACTTTTCCGCACTGTGATGCACAACATGCATTCATTACAAATCTTTTACTCAAAGAATTCACGAGAAAACTGAATTTGACATTAGTTTCAGATACACATAATTTTCGAAGCATTTTTCATACAAAAACTACTAAAAGTGGGAATTTTTGTATCGCAGCCATGCCTATATGATATCGTAATTACATGATAAATCATGTGAAAATGTGCAGAGGTTATTTTTTTCACAAAAAGTTAGCATTCTGAAAATTTGAAGAAATTTCAATGCATATTAAGGGTACTTCCCATACAAAATTTCGTTTTTGAGCGAAAAATCCAAAATTTTGTTCGGGAGATACCCCTAATATGCATTGAAATGTCTTCAAACTCTTGGAATGTTATTTTTGTGTGATAAAAATAACCTGTGCAAAGTTTTAGCTCATTACGATCCAATTTTTTTGAAATTTTTGTATGAAAAGTGTGTCGAAAGTTATTTGTATCGCAAAACTAACGTTATATTCGGTTTTCTCGTACCCAAAAACCCCCAATACTTTTTTTGAGTGTTTAAGAATACATTAAATATCACTTTTGGAAGAAAAATTCTTTCAAATTTTTCCTCTTTTAATGTGTTTGTACGTACTACGTAGTTTGTTCAATATTTAAAAACTTTTTACTCACTTGAAAAAAGTGATGCACAAGATGGATCTACAGGCGCCACTACAGCTATTTCACTGTAGCCTATATGTAAAGATGAAGCATATGTTCATAACAAACGTCTACACACGTTATTGCAAGACTGAAAAAAACTTTAACTTTTCAATATTTATGAGCTTTAAACGGAGTCGAAACCACTTTCAGAATAAAAAACAAGTCATACAAAAACATTCTGAGTGGATGAGAGACTTTTTGGCATCGGGCACGTGATTTGGCGATGGCATAACTCAATGAGCAACGTTACCTAATTGGGCACCTGATCTACCAAAAAGTAACCAAGATGACAAGTACATAAGCATTTTCGGCGCTGAGAAAGGTGCAGGAGCTTGAAAATTGTTATTTCTGCAATGATTTGATCTGTAGGCGCTTGCGTTTATTGAAGTAAATCCACACATAAACATTTCTGTTTTACACAGAGTCTCCCGCTAACGTATATTCTTCTTTGTGCCATTTGCTATCTCGAATACAACAAGACTATCACAACGGATATTCGACAAACCATTTAATAAAAAACTAATAGTTTTAAATTTATAACTAACTCTCTCCAAATAGATTACTAATTTTTTGACGCACTTATTTCTATTAAACTGCTAACCGGCGATGTAGTGTTTCACTAACTATTTCTACATTTTATACTAACCATTTTCTTTTTTAACTAACTTGTTTACATGATTCCCATTTGAAATTAGTTTCCGATACAAATCAAAACAAATGTAATATCGAAAAGTTGATTCAATTTGCTTTGAAATCTTCACTCCAAAGTATAAAATGAATAATCAATATCTTCTTATGACATTGGCCGAGGAGTGAATATAATAGAGTTGATAAACGAGAAATGTTTCATACAATGTGATACAAATAATTTTCGACACACTTTTCATACAAACATTTCTAAAAAATTGGATTTTTGTGTGGAAGCCATGCCGGTATGACATCGTAATGACGTAAATCTTTGCACAAGGTATTTTGTTCGCACATAAAGAGGCTTACGTACGCAAGCTGACTTTTCCGCATGGAACCGAAATTTTGGGAATAAACTGAAATTATGGTCTATGTATGGTTGCAGTAACTTAAATCACCGTGAAAACTTGTGAATATTATTTTCTTATCAAAATAAATAATCACATCAAGTTTAAAGAAATTTCAATAAAAAAAAATAGCCTGTTCAAAGTTTTACATCATTACGGTGCCACAAAGGCATGTCTTTCATACAAAAATGAAATTTTTTGTGGATTTTTGTATGGAAAGTCTGTGAAAAATTGATTGCATCTTGAAACTAACATCAGATTCGGGTTTCTCCTGCCAAAAAAACCCCCACTACACATTCTTCCAGCGTTCAGATTGAAAGAATATCATTTTAACGCATTTTTCTCATAAGTTCCTCTTCAGAGTCTATGTTTTACCGATCAATCAATGTCGTTGAAAATCTGACCAGATATATTCCTCGTAGTGCCTAATCATCCCGTAAAGTCGGATTCTAAATTTCATGTCTGAGCACGAAACCATCGTGTCACCAAAATGGTTGAAAAATGATCAAAAAAGTAAAATTTATGGATTTGGGTACTCCATTCGGACCAAAAAAATTACACAGGTCAACAGATATTGCTCAAAAACTAATCAGCACGTCTCCTAGTTGTCCCAAATCATCCTGCAAAGTCAGAATTTGACTTGAGTTTTTGGAAGAAGACTTATCGCGGTAACAAAAAAGGTGTCGCTCATTATTCAATATTGCTCAAAATTTGGCCAGATGTACTCCTCGCAGTCTCCAATCATTCAGTAAAATCAGATTTTGAATATTTTTTATGTGTTATGAGCTAACAGGCATAATATGGATATTTTGGCAACACGCCACAGGACACAGGACACATCACACACAGCGACGTATATTAACATGCCCCAAAGTCACCTCCAATCGTGTTTTCTACATGAAATCTGCATAGAAAACATCTTTTTGGGTGACTTTACTTCTTTGGCCTAATACAATACCTTTCCTACACTAGGTGTGCGGAAAAGTAATACATGTTGTGGATCACAGTGCGGAAAAGTTCATTTTTACGGATGTAAGACATTTTATTTTTCGAAAACTTTGAACGGCAATTTTAGTTTAAAATCTTTCAACGTAAAGCCACCTCGTCCGTTTAATAGTTTTATTTCAAAATATTAATATTTTATCCGGATCACACAAAATACATTTATATATTTAATAATTATTTAATATTATTTATTTAATTGAACCTTTGTCGCGGAACGTCAACATCTGACGTTTCACATTTCAATTTGTTTTTTGATCTTGTTTCGTCTGTGATAATTTTGTTTTTTTTTTTTAATTGAATCAGTTGAGAGCGTTGTATGATTGTCCTTGAATAAACAAAGCTCCGCTTTGAATATAATTAATTGGCTCAAAGAAAAGATTCTTTCTCGCCACTGTCAACATTGTAACAAACAGATTAATGCACCCAAAACGATATCGCTTATCTACGTTTGGTTCGCATTTTGAGAGTCATGCTCAAAATAAATTTCGAAATTAGCTGTGTGTACATTTTATGCTGTTGCAATTTTACAATCATATTGCCGAAGACTTAATTGCGACCATTCTCATTATCACAAAAAAGC